TACGTCCGAGTGGTGTACAATTTTTTCGCGGTACGGCGGACGACGCTAAGCCATTCGATCGCCGGCTGTTTCTCCTGAGGGCTGATTGGTCTAATTCAATTGATTCGTTCCGTCTGGTGGCTTTCGGCTGCCTATATGATTTTCCAGAAGTGTTGAAGGCTACGTTCTGGAGGGCAGGAGTCAACCGAGTCATGATAGTCCATTACATCCAGGGCAGTGGTGGTCTTCGGCAGGCGACCCCTGGCTGTGTATCAACAGCGGTATGGCGTAGGGAGTTGCTTACCAAAAATCGTGGTTAGATTAGACGGCATGGGATAGAGCTGTTGGACGGTTTTCAATACGGCGTAGAGCGATTGTATTAGTGGCTTACTTCTCATTAGCTTGCTGGTTAATTTCCATGAAGGGGATTTGTACTATTGGCTTTTAACATATAATCCCTTAGTCTACTCTGCCCTAAGTGCCCTTTACCTTTAGCAGGCTTACGCACGGAAAGGCGGATGAAAAATATGCTGGTCTTGGGCAATGCTGGCCTCTGGCATGCATCCCTATTCCCTTTCTGTCCATGTTGAGTAAAACTTCATGTCGATGATGTCGTGGCCTCGTGGGCAATACGGAAGACTTTAACGCTCATTCATTTCCACCTGGAATGCTCGTGGAGGCCAAAATAAATTCAGTCTGTTGAGGCCTGAGGGAGCTATGAGTCTAGACAACTTGAATCTGTGCTGGACTGTGCATAGTAAATAATATCATTTCCAACTTACATTGATTAGGTATAACAGATAAACAGAACCGGCGGTGCACTGCGGCACTGCGCACTGCGCAGCATCTTTTTTGGATTTTGGATCAAATTGGATGTATTCATATTGTCGCCTGAACCCCTGAATCATTTAATGAACTCCGCATATGGCTTAGGCTGCAAAAAATTGCCACTAATCCTGCAACTGCAAGATCATCAAGATGCACTCGTGCACGAAATAAATAATGATTTAAAGTATAATTCCACTGCCGTCGACTCATCTGTCCATACTCCATACTCCACAGTGAAATAAAAAAAGTGAAATCTGCGCTAAGTTCAAAGCATGAAAGCCATGAATGATGAAGCCTGGAAAATTAGTCAGATGAATGACACTGCCAAGTGCCAGGCATGCAAAACAACAGTAGCTACCATACCAGGAGGCAGGAGCAATGTTTATGCTTGTTGACCAATGACCATCATATTGCTCCAGAAACAAATTTGATGCAAGCGTGGAATTTTACAGTCATCTACCTTTAGGAATTAGGACCACAACTAGGGCTTTCCCGCCATTTCCAGAACCACGAGATTTACACCAGATGAATTACCTCCTATCTAATTGTTAACAAAAGTGCACAATCGGGCATGGGCAGCAAGATTCCAATTGCGTTAAAAATTTGTCATGTTTGCAAGATTTTAGAAGCAAGTAGGAAAATTCTAATCCTGATTATTTTGATATGAACATCTGAAAGGTGAATGCAATCTGTGACCCAGGGTGCAGAAGATGGAAGCAGCGTCGCCAATATATCATATATGGGTTTTTAAGCCCAAAGTGTCACCGACCATTTTCAAGATGTGTCGCCGGGTAATTTTTAATGAAAAGCCATTTACACGGAGTAATGAAAAACTATTTACAAGCCACGAACTTATTTACAAGGTTGCATGCATGTGTTACCCCAAATAACTAATTTTACCATAAAAACTGTCCAATTGTACAGCAAGTGTCAACTGAACATGTGATGATGCAGTCTGACTGCTCTAATGTGACCGCAACTACATTTTGTTTACATTTTTTTGGGCGGGAACTCATCGCAACCGATTTCCGGACAAGCTTTACTGCATCCTGATCCATCCAACGTACCGGAAACCGTAATTTTTTTTCTAAATAGTGTGCCAAAGACTGACATATATATTAAATGCAAGAATTACAATCTAAATGTGTTGGCAAGATCTTCCAAAGGTGTAAATTTTGCTACTGAAGCGTCGCCAAAGATCTTGCAATATTCATCCACTCTCTGCACAGTGGTCTGTGACCTGTGTGTGAATGTGATAACTATGATTTATTGTGAATACCTACCATAAGCATAAGTCCATAACTATAGCCAGGACTGGCCAAGGTGCAGAGTTTGCAAGCAGTGTTGCCAAGATATGGATTTCCAGTCCAAAACATTGCCAGCAACCAGCATTATTCAATAGTTGTTGGCTTGTTGCTGTTGCCAGAAGTCTTCAGGATTCATCAGCTGTCATTGAGTAATTTTTAATAATGAATCTGCTAAAGGTTCTAAGAGTATATCCCCCACTCCCTAGCCTCCAGGAACTACACCAGTCAATATGGCTTCTGCATTGCAACCAATTTTACGATTTGCAGATTGTGCTGTAGCTGTATGGTGGAGTGTATGCCGTACAGTCTCATCCGACAAACTGGAAAACCTATAGTCTATACTATAATGAGCAGTATGTAGATTCTCAATTATTTTCAACAACAAATCTGCTTGAATCAAATAGGTAGTTCTTTGAAAAATCTCAATTAGCTCAAAATCTTCATAGCATGAAATTATTGAAATATACCTACAGAATCTACCATTTCTAGTAAACCTATGACAGACAAGAAAAGAAGACATATATTGAATTAAAGTGATGCAAGAGTTAAGTAGATGCATCAATGGCCAATGCTTGAAGTTGAATCATCATTGGAGCTGGTATTACTATTACACAATGCATGGGTTACATATCTTAATGAAAATAGTTGAGTTATTAATATGGTATTCTGGCAAGTCAGGGAAAGTAGTTCAAGTGTGTTAGTGTGGGGTCCCAGTTACCACACAGAGTTGTGGCAGGAAGAGATCTGTGTGCAATGTGGCCAACAAACCGCAAAGTCAGCGCCTCAGCGGGCCTCTTGTGAATCAAGTGGATATGACTATGGGCAACCTGACCATGGGCCAAGAAGGCCACTGGCCCCTCTCCATTCCCACTGGTCTCCTTGCAATTTCCAACTCATGCATGTGGTATTTTTACCATTGTCATCACCACTCACAAAAGAGGTTCTCTTATGCTTGCCACCTCCACTTGCACAAGAGGTTCTGTTATGCTTGTACTCCTCCCAATTTGTACAAGGCACGTATAATTAATCTGTGGGAATAGTGAGTGAAGCATTCTTTTTCCTATGCTATTATTATCAACTGTGCATTGCATTGTAGTTCAGTTGAGTTACCTTAAGGATCACATTGCCACTGATGCCAGTGTTTTCTACGGTCCACCTGATGTTTAATCTAAAGTCAAGACTTTGTTTACCAGAGCAATAAATTAAATTAGCTTTAATGTTGTTAACTGTGCAATTTTCTCAATAAAAGCTTAATAATTTGTGTGAGTAGTATTAATAATGTAAATATTAATTATCTAAGGAGTGACTTTTGGATCTAATAAGAACATGGATTCTCCAATGTTTTTCATGCAAATTTGTATGATAAGTTGATCAGTAAGACGTGCTTTTGCTTACTCTATACAAATTTCCAATCAAATAATTTTGTTTATTGTTATTTGGCTACGGCAGCCCAACCCCTCTGTGTTGCTATGGAAGTCGTGGCCAGTACAAGAGGAACGTCACGACCGAGCCAATGGTCCTGGACCCGCTCGATCGAGCATTGGTTTCAGGCTACGCTCGTTGCTGAGTAGGGCCGAACGCCTCTTAAGCCTGAAATCGTTCCAGCACATGTGCAACGCTACCCAAACGCGGTCTGCACCGTGTGAGTTACCCTAAGAAACGGAAAATGAATACTATTTTCTCTGGTTTTCTGACACAACCACTAGCTGGATATGATCCATGTCCAAACAAACCATGCAAAGACTAAGTTAAATGTTTGCATGTTTGTCACTAGACTAATTTTAAAAACATAATTCTTAGCATGAATTTTTAATGTTCTGATGTACATAATTTTTTGTGACTTTCAATTTGTAACTCTACTAAAAAGCATCATATATTACTAAACAATATGTCAATAACTCTTTACTGAAAGGTTTAATATAGCTGCTTGCATGTTCCCATTATAGGACACTGAGGCGGCAACTGCTGCTTGCAGTGACATTGCTTGTGGAAGAAGCTACAACTCATCAAGCAGATGGAAATGATTCAAAACAATTTGTGTGTTTTTTCTATGCTTTATGATTAGGGCAATGAAAAGAGTGATCTCTATTAGACTAAATAGACATGTTATTCATTTAAATATTGAATTGAAAACATAGTAATTCCATGAGAACCTTCAAAACCTCTTATGAAATCTGTGCAACTGCTTTCCTGTGTAATTCGGTGAGAATTGTTACTTATATAGTACGCCTGTTCATTACCTTAAATTTACAGTTGGGCAAATACCTATCTCTTAACTGGAAAACTGGGCAGAAGCCATGTGCAGCTGATGAATCAGATAGAAATATGTCTGTGAATCTTGCCGATTTCTTCTGTTTCAATTGCTTTTTCTCAACTTCTTCACAAGAAAAAAGTCCAATAATCAATTTTAAAACAAACATTTTTACCCAAGATTTTAGGGACCTCCTGCCCAATATTCTAAATTGGACCTACCTATGTTCAAAGGCAAAATGTAATAGTCAAGGTTAGAATTATTGTTTCTTTGATTACCATACTTTGGAGTCTAGATTGACACCTTGTACACTGTTAGAAAAAACGGTGAAAAAACGGTCCCCCCGGCGTTCTAGTGGCCGGTCGCCCCGTGAAAATAAACTGTTTCGCTGTTTTTATCAGATGTTTTACGGATTTCTAGTGTAAAATTAGAATAAAAACGGCGACACGGTGTTTCTTTTCACGTGCCGACCGGCCACTGAAACGCCGGTAATACCGTTAACGGTAATTTTTCTAACAGTGTAGAATTATCTGTATATTATTTGTATTGAGGCAGTATAATTCTTAATGTGTGCTTGCAGTATACTTTTTCTTAGAATTATTATCCCAAAGTTATATGTCACCTTTCTCTTTCCAGATCCAAATGAGTGGTATATAATTAAATATTTATTAAATCATGTTGAGTTTTGCGACAAACATGAGAGCAATGCTCACAACATCAAAACTTTTGAAATTTGGTTACTGGAAGCAGTCAGATTGTAATAGTAAGTTTTAAAATGCTTTCATATAATGCTATATTATATACATATTTCATTATACATTGTTTCACCTACAGAGGATTTGTTGGAGAGAAGAATGTGTGTAACACCTATAATGACAATATAGGCATCAAATATCTTCATTTGTGCTGCTTATAATGAGATGTTATATGGTACTTATTATTTATAACATTGAACATTTCAATAACAGTAGAAAAACTATCATAATTCTTGTATTCTATAAGTATTTTTTTTGAATGGAATTTTAAGAACTTGTGGTTAATACCATATATTTAGCTCAATACTGATTGTATCTCTTGTTCCAGTCATGGGTAAGCACTACATTTTCACCAAGCAAGCTCTGGGAATAGATAAATTTTTGGAGAAGAAAAATGAAATCATCAAGCAGTCATCTGAAGAAGAGACTCTAAGGTAAACTGCAATTTTGGCTAAGATGCACAATGATAATTTTTTTTATCCCATCATTTAGCTACCTTTTCTTGGTGACTAGTCTGTCCCTCTAGCAAAGCTATGTTTGTAAGGAAGTATTTGTTGTAGACCACATCTATTTATTACTTGTTAAAAAAATTTGCATGCATATCAGTATTTTTGTTTCTTTCTAAGGTGATTACTAACTTTATTATAAAAAATATATCCTGATTTAGGCTGATTATAGCTTTGTTGTCATGTTTTGGCTCATGGTTGCTTTTCCCTGAAGGGAATTCAAACTAAAATTAATCATAATGTTTAATATAATATAATAAAGCTTAATTAGTACTTCTAAAACCTTCGATGTTCATGTTATGAGTGGCACTTAAATAGAACTTCTTAATGTAATTGATATAAACAATATTTTCATTGTTTTTCTTAACTAGCATATTAAACTTTTTGTAGGATTTGTAAGCTCAAATATTATGTTTTCAAGGGTTATTTGTTACAGTATTACAACTTTTGGAAAGAACATTTTTCATTATGATGCAAAATAAATGCATTCAATGCTTAAATATTTGATTTTGGAATGCCATGACTACAAAGATTAGGTATCATACATATAAGTGAGAATTAAAACTTAGAATTACTCCAGAAATAATTTCAGTGCCCTGAAAGATCCGCTGGTTTGTAAATTGATAACTGTAAACTCATCCGATGCCGAGGTCTTCAGCCAGCGTATCGGGGCACAGCATGACGATGCTGGTGCAGGCTTGGGGCACCGCATGACGATGCTGGTGCAGGCTTGGGGCACTGCATGACGATGCTGGTGCAGGCTCTGTCTCTTATACACATCTAGATGTGTATAAGAGACAGCTGCATGACGATGCTGGTGCAGGCTTGGGGCACCGCATGATGATGCTGGTTCAGGCTCCCAGTGCCTTGCAAGAGATAGTCTCGCTGTAAGCCTTCCTCTGTTGGTTTTTCGGTCATCGGGACTCAGGGCGGCGGCTTAAATAGTTGTCAAATCAATGTAGTTTATGTGTTGATGATATCTACAACCTTCTCTGCACTTGCGGAAATTTATAGACATTTGTTTCTTGTATGATTTTTCAGAGAAATTATTCTTTTCAACGAGGTCCTTGATCGACTTTTTTTTTGTTGTATATTATCACAATTTTGTTGTGCTTCCGGTGTTATTTTTCAGTATTGCCTGTAGGACTCAGTTATATGCCTTATTATCGCTGTCAGTTCATTTTAACAGTAGATGATCATGATGTTTTAGTTTGGTTCTTGTTCCTAAACAGCTTGTTTTTGGCGCGATTTATAATCTGAAATGTTGGCTTCGATTATTATGGTTTCGTACCCATTGTTTGAGCAAATTTGTCTGCGGTTTGGAGTTGTATTTCTCAAGTCTCTACTCTCTAGCAGATGCACTGGGCCTATACTTTCAAAAAAAGTTAAGAGATCGTAAGTTCATCAGCTAATCATTGACGGCCTTGCAAGCAAAATCCACCAATAATAGACAAGAAAATAGAGCGTAAGTACTTACGTTCACTTGGCGAGTTTTGAAAGTATGGACCCTGGTCATTTACTTCGTTTACCATTTAACTCTATTGGCTAGCAAATTCTCCTCAACTTGGACGAGTATTTCGAGTTTCGGTAATATTTATCAGAAATTAAAACTTAAGTGAACGAATCATGTTATTAAACCACTCGTTGTTCCGTCATGTGTTCTATCGGCCGACATATGCTGAAAATATCGTCGAGATATCTAGAGTGAAGCTCAGGCTTGATCCGTGTGCCTACCAACACTTACGTTTCAAATGTCCGCATGTACTTTTCAGTAAAAGTTTATTTTGACTACTGTCCATAGCTACTCCGTTGATTTGTAGATAAATTTCGTATTCTGGAGTATAGAAGAGAGATCCCTTATACAATTTTCGAGTAATCTGGCGTACTATTTCTAACTGTAAATATTTTTCCAGGTTCCAGACAAAAATGCGTGAGCTGTTGGCGCAGAGCGGCCACAAGCTGATGCTTGTGTTCAAACAGGACCTCGAGAAAGCCATCTACGTGTGCCAGGACAAGGAGGAGGACATACAACTTGTGCAGCATCTCGCATGCAAGTTCGTCGGTACTTATTCCATGCTTGTTGTTTAAATTGTTTATGATCACGTGGAGGTTGTCTACAACTTGTGCAGCATCTCGCATGCAAGTTCGTCGGTACTTATTCCATGCTTGTTGTTTAAATTGTTTATGATCACGTGGAGGTTGTGTAGAACTTTGCTCTTTACAGTTCCGTGAGATTCTTCTGTTGAAGATAATCTAATGGGTCATTATATTATATCCAAAATACGGAACTTGGTTGAGACTTAATTGAAGAGAATGTGTGACAATAGTATAGAAAAACTGTTCCAGCTAACTGTGATACATTCTGCTACCTTGAAACAAATGATTCCTCAGGTGTGTTCTTGTTGCCATACTTATTTTGGGAATTCGTTAAAACTAAATTACATAAATGTTCTCAGTTTGTGTGTTGGTTTTGAATGTATAAATCTATGGTTATGCCTGATGAATTAAACATCTGTTCAGCCTTGCGCTTGCTGTAATGTTCACTGGCCGTCCCTCTGAGGTACTACCTCTCGAGACCCTTCTTCTTGGTTACACAGTTATCGGTCGCGCTAAGCGGAACTGTTTTCCTGGAATACTTCAGTTCCAACATATCACTATGTTTCCATATCTTTCATATCCACATATCACATATCTTGCGTCGTGCTCTCTTCTAGGAACTCGTTGCAGTCAAGTTGTGCTGCGCGTGGGCAGGCGCCATTATCTTGGCTGCGTTTTATTTACTTAGCTTCAAAGATGCCGCGTTTCCTTCCCCCAAATTTCTTGCCTAAATACCGTTGATACTCAGCCTAACAAGCTGTCTACCCTGCCTGATTTGCTTTAAGAACAATGGGACCGGCCGTATACTTCAAGACAAGGAGCCCTGCTGTGTCTTGAAACTATAATAATACCTTGTAGTTCAAAAGTTTTGAGGGCTTCGGAGTTTGAATTGTTTATAATAAATATTTGCTGGTAACTTGTGCAATTTTAATCCATTAACAACACCTGGCTTGTGCAGGTACGCGAAGCAGAACGCGAAACTTCGCTTTGGTTCGTTCACGTTTGGCGCGGTGCTCATGAGGATGTGTTATGTGCTCAACAAGCCTGACGTCGCCATGCAGGTAAACTTATGATGTGTTATGTGCTCAACAAGCCTGACGTCGCCATGCAGGTAAACTTATAATGTGTTATGTGCTCAACAAGCCTGACGTCGCCATGCAGGTAAACTTATAGCCATTCATCAGTATTATAATTTCTTAATGAATCTCACATTACGTGTCATGTATTTCAGTGCATGTGTGTATTGTAGGTTTATTTTAATCCTGGCACTATATATAAATATATATAACATATTAGAGCACACATCCTGAATACCGGTATCTTTTTTATTGAGAAGAAATTACCTGGATCCTAAGTTTCATTACTAGGGGCCATACTTTCAAAACTTGCTAAGTGAACGTAAGTACTTATGCCCTATTTTCTTGTCTATGATTGGTGGATTTTGCTTGAAAGGCCGTCAATGATTGGCTGATGAACTTACGATCTCTCAACTTTGTTTGAAAGTATAGGCCCTGGGCTGTAAGTCGGGGACGTTGCAGCCAGCTAGCTCTGTAGCAAGTCAGCTAGCTCTCTTTTCTAACATTTCTCATTTCTAACACATCTGCCGTGTGCAGTGGCACTAATGTCCCCCGTGTGCAACATTTCTAACACATCTCCCGTGTTCAGTGGCACTAATGTCCCCTGTGTGCAACATTTCTAACACATCTGCCGTGTGCAGTGGCACTAATGCCCCCCGTGTGCAACATTTCTAACACATCTCCCGTGTGCAGTGGCACTAATGTCCCCTGTGTGCAACATTTCTAACACATCTCCCGTGTGCAGTGGCACTAATGCCCCCCGTGTGCAACATTTCTAACACATCTCCCGTGTGCAGTGGCACTAATGTCCCCCGTGTACAACATTTCTAACACATCTCCCGTGTGCAGTGGCGCTAATGTCCCCCGTGTGCAGTGGCACTAACGCCCCCCTGTCTCTTATACACATCTAGATGTGTATAAGAGACAGATTTTCGAGTAATCTGGCGTACTATTTCTAACTGTAAATATTTTTCCAGGTTCCAGACCAAAATGCGTGAGCTGTTGGCGCAGAGCGGCCACAAGCTGATGCTTGTGTTCAAACAGGACCTCGAGAAAGCCATCTACGTGTGCCAGGACAAGGANTGTGACCCACTACTGGCGGGGCTGTGACCCACTACTGGCGGGGCTGTGAGCCACTACTGGCGGGGCTGTGACCCACTACTGGTGGGGCTGTGACCCACTACTGGCGGGGCTGTGAGCCACTACTGGTGGGGCTGTGACCCACTACTGGTGGGGCTGCTAGGGACCTAACCCTGTTCACCAGGACCACCTTAATCCTGTTCTCCTGTTTACCGTTGCTGGTTACCTCTTGTCTATTTATTTTTCTCTTGCTATTAAACTTATGGGTAACGTGGTCCTTTTGAGTTCGTTTGAACCGGACGCTACAAGAACTGCTTCGTAGAATAATAATGATAATAATAACCCAGTGCCACCCTAACCCTGTGCACCTGTTCACCCAGTGCCACCCTAACCCTGTGCACCTGTTCACCCCTAACCCTGTCTCTTATACACATCTAGATGTGTATAAGAGACAGGTGTACAGTTACTGCTGTTGTTAATATACTGGTGAGTGTACAGTTACTGCTGTTGTTAATATACTGGTGAGTGTACAGTTACTGCTGTTGTTAATATACTGATGAGTGTACAGTTACTGCTGTTGTTAATATACTGGTGAGGCGTGGTGCAGTGCCCAGTACAGTTACTGCTGTTGTTAATATACTGGTGAGTGTACAGTTACTGCGGTTGTTAATATACTGGAGAGGTGCAGTGCTCAGTACAGTTACTGCTGTTGTTAATTAATAACTGACTAATCACACGGCATATATGCCTTCCACCGAAAAGACTCCATTGCGCGGTCTTAATCATCTTAATTTTTAATCATCCAGCGAGTCGCGTCTCTCCAATATAATTTATATATTATGAAGCGCCTGACACGGTCGGACGTTTCAGTGCGCTAAAATGTTATGTTGTTAATGTTAAATGCTCTGTTGTTAATGTTAAATGCTCTGTTGTTAATGTTAAATGCTCTGTTGTTAATGTTAAATGCTCTGTTGTTAATGTTAAATGCTCTGCTCCCTCTGAATGTTCATCAAATAACGAAGCTTGTGTCGTAAACTTGGAAGTGACTTTCAAAAAACCACGTAAATTGTAGTACGGAAATGATTATATATGTAAAGGCGCTTTGGTTTTATGAATCACGAATCACGAACCATCACGAATAATAAAAAAGGAGGAAGTGTCGTAAACTTGGAAGTGACTTTCGAAAAACCACGCTCGTGGTTTCTGTGCCATGTTTACCTGTGCCATGTTTACCTTCTTTACCTTTTCTGCCATGTTTACCTTCTTTACCTTTTCTGCCATGTTTACCTTCTTTACCTTTTCTGCCATGTTTACCTTCTTTACCATTTCTGCCATGTTTACCTCCCTTTACCATTTCTGCCATGTTTACCTTCTTTTACCATTTCTGTGCCATGTTTACCTTCTTTACCTTTTCTGCCATGTTTACCTGCTTTTTTGCCATCTGCGATCGGCATTTTCTGCGCCATGTTTACCTGCTTTATTGCCACTGCGATCGGCATTTTCTGCGCCATGTTTACCTGCTTTTTTGCCATCTGCGATCGGCATTTTCTGCGCCATGTTTACCTGCTCTTTTGCCATCTGCGATCGGCATTTTCTGCGCCATGTTTACCTGCTTTTTTGCCATCTGCGATCGGCATTTTCTGCGCCATGTTTACCTGCTTTTTTGCCATCTGCGATCGGCATTTTCTGTGCCATGTTTACCTGCTTTTTTGCCATTTCCCAGGGATATTCTTACTTCTTCCGCGTGCGTAGCTTGGGGTTTTTTCATAGTTTCTCGTTCGCTTAACATACTCTCCTCGTGCCGCGCTCAGCCCGCAATTTTAAGACGCCTACTTCTCGCAAAATTGTTCACTCATGTTAAATTAAGCTGTGTAGAGGTTAGGCCAGTATTAGGCGTGACGTGTTGACGTGGTGTGAGATGTTCCATTAAGCTGTGTAGAGGTTAGGCCAGTATTAGGTGTGACGTGTTGACGTGGTGCGAGATGTTCCATTAAGCTGTGTAGAGGTTAGGCCAGTATTAGGCGTGACGTGTTGACGTGGTGCGAGATGTTCCATTAAGCTGTGTAGAGGTTAGGCCAGTATTAGGTGTGACGTGTTGACGTGGTGCGAGATGTTCCATTAAGCTGTGTAGAGG